AGGTACGCGGACAACACATTCTCATTTTAACAGACAATGTGACGGCCAAAGCCCACATAAACAAACAGGCCTTAACTCCTTACTGGCCCAGACGGCCATGGTTTGCGGACCTCTGCAGTCTATCAGTGGCCCCTCCCTGGAGGATCCCACCAGACGGGATCTCACTTTCTCAAGGTCCCCTCCTTCATCTGGATCCTCAATGGCTCCAATTAGCCGTCTGGAGGTTGAGCGGGAACGCCTGAAGAGAGAAAGGTTCTCTAGCAGGGTCATTGATACTATTCTAGCCGCCAGACGGCCCTCAACCATTCGAATTTACGACGCCACATGGGCCATTTTCTGTAAATGGTGTAACAAGTTCCAAATTAACCCAGTTTCTCCTTCTGTTGCCCAAATTTTAGACTTTCTTCAGGAGGGACTTAGTAAGGGTCTGTCCCCTAATACCTTGAAATGACAATTAGCGGCTCTAACAATGGTTATTTCCTGTGAGGGTGTTGGTTCCCTTTCCTATCACCCCCGTCTTCGGGCCTTCCTTAGAGGAGTCACTAATTTACACCCTCCAACGGTGCATCGGTACCCAACCTGGGACCTTAACAGAGTTCTTACTTCACTCACTAAACACCCCTTTGAACCCTTAAGGGAGTCAACCCTCCAGTTCCTGACTTATAAGGTAGTTTTCCTTGTGGCTATTACATCCGCCCGTCGGATATCGGAAATTGCAGCCTTATCCATTAGAAGGGACCTTTATGTATTTCATGCTGATCGGGTGGTCCTCCGGCCCGATCCCACCTTCTTGCCCAAGATCAATTCCGTTTTCCATAGGGCGCAGGAACTCATCCTTCCAAATTTTTGTCCCAGGCCATCCCAGGAAAGGGAAAGACAATGGCACATGCTTGATGTGAGACGAGTTCTTTGAATCTACATCAAGCGCACAGAGCCATTCAGGAAATCAGAGGCCTTATTCCTCTCCTTTCAGCCCAAAACACTGGGTGTCACCGTCTACCATAGGCCGTTGGGTAAGAGCAGCAATTGCTAGGTCATACCAGTCGCAAGCTTTACAGGTGCCCAGAGGTATAACGGCACACTCCACCAGGAGTGCGGCAACCTCAGCAGCTTGGGCAACTTAGACACCAATAACCGAAATCTGCAGGGCAGTGACTTGGGCATCCCCATCACCTTTTATTAGGCATTATAAAATCGATATGTTTGCCTCAGCAGAGGCTTCCTTCGGTAGACGGGTTCTACAGCGGGTTTTTAGAGATGCAGAGGAGGCTCAGGACCAGATGGATTCCCTCCCGTAGGACAGGCCCAGCTTTGGTATGTCCCACTACTGGATGCTCCGAGCAGCTCTGAGGAGAAGGGGCGTTGGTTCTTACCTGATACACCCATTCTCTTTGAGCTGCGAACAGCATCCAGCCCCACCCATATTTCACCATCTGGTAGGGTCTTGTTTCGGCCAATGAACCATTAGGTAGTTAGGATTAGAGCACGGATTTTTTTCCTCTCATCTTCGCAAAACTGGGGAACGCTATGGAGGAGTCATGTGGAGGAGGAGGAGCGTTCCTCAGTTCAAGCTCAGCCTATGAATACAGAGACTGAAGCACCTCCTACTACTGGATGCTCTTCGCAGCTCAAAGAGAATGGGCGTATCAGGTAAGAACCAATGCCCCTTTTCTCTATACCCCAAAGGTTCTTTATTTGTTGCCTCATCTCAAAAACCTGAACAAGCAGATCCCTCATGGAAGCTGCAATTCAACATCTGTTGGACATTCGAGCCATCCAGCCGGTCCCAGAGGACCAGCAGTGACTGTGGATTTTACTCCATCTTGTTTGTAGTCCCAAAGTCTTTGGGGGGTGGGGGGTGGAGAGCAATTCTCAACCTGAAGAGACTCAACAAGCATCTAGTATACAAAAAATTCAAAATGCAGTCCCTCCAATCCATACTGAAAAGCATCCGGGAAGGCAACTTCCTGACGGCAGTAGAGTTAACTGAAGCATACCTACTCATTCCTATATTACCGGCTCACCAACGCTTCCTACGGTTCTGCTACGCAAAGAAACACTACCAGTACAGGGCCCTCCCATTTTGGCCTATCTTTGGCACCCAGAACATTCATGAAGATCCTAGCGTTGCTGTCAGCTCACCTCAGAACCATCCCTATTCACGTCCAATGCTATTTGGACGACATACTGATCCATTCCCTCTTACCTCTGGGCAACAGAAGACCTCCACTTCACAATCCAGGTCCTTCAGAATTACATATTTTCAGTCAACTATGACAAGAGCCTCTTCTCTCCTACTAACATAATTCTCCACTTAGGAGCATATATAGAAACGACATCATGCAGTCTCCCTGTGCCAGGACCGCCAGGACAGCATCAGAGCTCTGATGAGCCAGATCCAATTGAGCCGAACAGTGCTCTGGTCCTCCTCTCACAACTCTTAGGCAATCTGTATCTTCATTGTTCCCTGGGCTTGTCTGCATACCAGTGGTTACAGTGGTTCCTCCTGCCATGCCAGAGATCTGGCAAGAGCAATTCAGCTACCAGAGTCCGGATTCCACCAGAAGTCCTCCAGTCCTTCCAGTGGTGGATGTCCCTGGCCAGAGCCAAGGGATGCACATTCAAGGAGTCGAATTGTCTCACCATCACCATGGACGCCAGTTTGTTTGGCTGGGGAGCCCACATGCAGACCCAGATTGCACAAGGCCAGTGGACAACTTCTCTGACCGGGTAATACATACCATTCAAGCTTCTAGGAGGCCATCTACAAACAATTTATGATTCCACCTGGAAAACCTGTGCCTGGTGCTCCAAAACCTCTATTGATCCTCTTTCAGTATCAGTGGCCCGAATCCTGGACTTCCTACAGGCTGGGCTAGACAAGGGCCTATCGCCCAATACAATACGCAGACAAGTGACCGCCATATCCTTTGTGTTATCTTATGGGGAACTGGAGTCCCTTGCATGGCACCCTATTGTGCGCAGCTTTATCAGAGGCGCTACTAACTTAAAGCCTTCAACGGTTCACTGATATCCCTCTTGGGGTACAGTCCTCCAGGTGCTCTCTGCTGCAGCCGTTGAACCTTTGCACTCAGCCAGCCTTTGTTTTCTCACCTGCAAGGTCTCCTTTCTCATGGCTATCACCTCAGTGAGACGCATCTCTGAGTAAGTAGCCCTCTCAATAAGAAAGGATCTATGAATTTTCCATCCCAACAGAGTTATTCTGCGCTTGGACCCTTCGTTCCTGCCAAAGGTCAATTCTTTATTTCACAGGGTACAAGAATTTTGATTTTACCGGACTTTTTCCCTAGTCTGACCCATGCCCTAGAGAGGAAATGGCACACTTGGATATCAGGAGGGCTCTTTGTATCTATATCAAGAGGACAGCTTCCTTTCAGAGATCGGAGTCCCTGTTCATATCGTTTCAACCCTCCACATTGGGTAATAAAGTCACAGCATCAACAATAGGCTCGTGGATACGGGCATGCATTGCCAAATCATATGAACTTCAGGCTCTCCCGTTGCTTCAGAGAGTGACAGGCCACTCCACTAGAAGCGCGACCATCACAGCAACATGGGCCACTCAGGTTCCCATTGAGGAGATACGCCGAGCAGCGATGTGGTCTTTTCCATCCCCATTTATACACCATTATAAGCTGGATGCCTTCGTTTCTGCTGAAGCGGCCTTCGGTAGACAAGTTCTCCAGAAGGTATACACAGGCTTGGGGACTCTGGACCAGACTGCTTCCCGCCCTTAGGACGTGCCGGCTTTGGCATGTCTCATTCATTGGATTCTCCTCAGCACACTCGGAGAAGGGGCATTGGTCTTACCTGACACGCTCCTTCTCGGTGTGCTGAGAGAGAATCCAACTCACCCTGGTGGCCATCTGGACCAGGGTCCAGGGGTGGTCAAGTCAGGTCAAGCATCTCGCCATTGTCAAAACTGGGGAAGTAGACGCAAGAGGCAAAGATTTGATTGACTCAGTCTAACGAGCAGGAAGGCAGAGTTAACCCATTCCTTGGATTCTCTCTCAGCAAACCAAGAAGAAACATGTGTCAGGTAAGAACAATGCCCCTTCTGATGTCCAGATCAAGCTATTCCAGAGAAGGGGATTGGGAATTGAAAAGGTATGGTTTTGAAGTTTCTGCAGATAGCAGTATCTAATAGGAGGGCCCGGAAGTGGGCTTGCCTTACTTGGATCTTATTGGGAAGGCAAATAATACTGGGAAAAGATAGTCCCACAAATAGCCAGGGCTAAAACATGAAGAGCTTAAAGGTTGGCACCTAGACACATGGGAGCCAAGCGGGAACTAGATTTGCTGTCAAAGTTGTTGCTTAAGTTTACCAAGACACAGCTATTGCTTCTCTTAACGGCTACCACATTATGGACCTGCTAGTAGTTCCAAATACTAAAGAATAGTGCCATATGGAGTTTGTTGCAGTAATCCAATTGAGAGGTAACAAAGGCACGAGTGACTGAATAATTCCTCCTATTGTAAGAGGGTCCTAAATGGTACACAAGGTTGAGATATGCAAATTCCTTCTTGGCCAAAGCTGCCTCCTGCTAATAAGTGCAGGAAGACACCCAAGTTACAAAACAGTTTTATTGGAGCGGGAGTATGACTTCAGCCTAAACTAAATATGGTATTTCTCCAGAATTCAATGGCTTATGAACACAGAACCACTCTATCTTTCTGGAATTAAACAACCTCTTCCTCAGAATCCATATGCTAGAAACCTCAGGGACCTGGATGGCATTTTAATAGTATAGTTCAGATGGCTCAGGATCTGTAAAATTGGGTATCATCAGTATAGTATGATACCCAACCCTGTGTTGGTGAATAACCACCTCATGTGACATTTGATAATAGTCATAATCAGAAGAGAAACTTATCCAAATAGAACAGTCAGGTTTCAAGAATACAATATGGTATTAAATGTAGAATTTTTAAAGCAAATAACAAAGTTGGAAAATAAAAATAGTTTTAACTGTCTTTAGATTCCCCATGGAGGTACAGTGATGTGCCCAGATCTTCATCTATGGTACTTGGATCATTAACAACTGGACTTGTGAGAGAGAGAAGAGAGCTAGAAAGGACAGAGCCATCTGTTAGTTTTGTGGATTGTAGTCAAAGGAATGGTGATTTCCCTCCATCAGCATGTATGTATTGGAAAGCTGAGCATGTTTCGTTATACGTTATTCCATAAACTTGCCTGGGATGTTTATCTTGCTCTTGTAATGTTGTCTGACTATTGATTTAGTTGCTTCATACATACAACTTGCTTGTTGATAATGCCATTAACTGTGGCAGTCAAGTCTTACTAGCAAGCATCTAGTTACTTTTTTTCATTGTTTAAAAAACTGTAGGACTCTACTGTGCCTTTTAAATGAAAATTATTTTGAAATATAAGCAACATGGCGGCTCAGTTAGGATGCTAACTTGACAAACAACAAACTCCTGTTCAAGACTCAAGTGCTACTGTGGGGCAGTTGAGCTCCCGTCCTTTGCTCCAGCTTCTGCCAGGGACATGAAAGCTCCTATCTGGGCGTCTCCCGGGGAACAGTGATGTCACCAGCTAATCTTTTCAACCTGGAAGCAACGAGGGCGGTGTGATTTTGAAATGTGATGATATAATTTAAAATACTAGACCTCGAGATATTTGGCCTAATTTTAATGCATAATTAAACTGTAATCACATAATATACTATTGATCAGTATTTCCATTTAGAGTATATTGGTAAAGAGTTAGCTCAGAAGCCAATAACAAACACACTGGCAATTCAAGATCTTTGGTATATTTCTAATGCCAAAATAGTAATGTGTTTGCTGTTCCCTTTACTCAGTGAATTGACATTATTAGAGACAGAACATCCAAGTTTTAGTATATAATTCAGAGGTATATTTATGTCTTTACACATACACACACACACACACATCCCATAAATATTGAAAAGTATCTTACATTTATATGATTTATATTTATATTAAATTATCTCATAGTAAGATAATGAACATAATGTTCTGTAAGATTCTTAGCAATTTATTAATTGTAAATAACTAGTATTTACCTTAGCAATATTCTTTTAACAGTTTATAAAATACTGTAGAGTTAGGACATCTAAAACTCATTTTAGTACTGATAACAGTATGGGAATTCTAGATTCTGTTAATGCATTTGGATCACACAGTGAAATTAGGATATGTTTTGAATATGCTGCCATTTTCAAATCTTAGGCAATCCAAGCTAAACTTATAGTAACTCAGATTGTTTAAAAATTGTTTGGCTGTAAGTAGATTTATGCTATTCTCCACTTTCTCATGATTTGTTCCCATCCAAGAGATTTACTTGCAATTTTCAAATTAGCATTATTCCAGAGTGTAAATTTGTCATGTGAATAACCCCATCTCAGCTTTTTCCAATTGTGCCTTTAATGCAGAAACTGTAATAGACTTTGGCTGAAGATGGATATTTGTCTTGCTATTATGTCAGGAAGGTCACATTCTAACTGTGCCAACAATATTTTTGACTTTATCACTTAGAGACTTTATTTAACACATAGAGACACTGAACTCAAAATATGTGTTCAGTGATAAAGCAGAGAATTAGGAAAGATAAACTTCCATTATCATGATAGCTATAATTTAAATAAAGAAAACCCAGCAGTTTAGAAATATTACAGCATTTAAGGCATTCATTATATTAGCACAGAAATATCTTTATCAACCTTGAAGTGATATGCATCTTTATATTTCTCTTTCCTTATGCTCAGTGGGATTTTAAACCGTTCATCACTCCTCCTATGTCAGTTTTATCTGTTTTAAATGTTTGGAATATTTATATCCATAAATGAAGAAAGTTTCCTTGGAATAGCTGTTCCCAGATTTTGCAAATTTAAACAATTAAATCCATGGGAGAGCCTTTAAATTGTGTATGAACTTCAATCACAACTGTTCGAAGCAAACTATATGCTAAAAGGAAACTAAGCAGTAAAAATCTCATGATTTTAATTTTAAAGACATGTCAAATTGTAAAAGTTATGCAGTTCTTAATCTTGAGCTACACAAATAACATTTAGTGATCATGTGTAAATTAGATTTCTAAGAATGGTTCGGTGTATCTCTTAATTTCATGGTACATGAACAGCTTAGACATTCTTGCAACTTAAAATATTTAAATCTGGAAAAAATGGAGCAACTCTTTAAAATAATTGTATAGGTCAGGAACAGAAAAAGAAAAAAAGGCTGATACACATTTTTAAAAATCAAAAAACAAAGCAAAGCACAACAAAAAACAAATGTACATGGAGAAAGTTTTTTTTTTTTAAAGCCAGAAATAAATTCTAGAATAAAAACTAAAAGAAAAAAGTTATTTAACTTCTCAGTAACATCTGGGGCATCCAGGAATTTTTAAAAAGTTGGAAAAACAAAAAAAGATTTAGTCTCTTTGTATAGTAAATGGTTTTCACTTCTGAACCCATCAGTGGAAGAATATCTGGTTCTCAACAGTAATATTTAGTTCTTGGGACAAATGGAAATGAAAACCTATCCAATAAGCAGATTCAATTTCAAATTGTATACCCTGTGTGCAGGGATAAAATTCCATACAGGTATAGTCCTTGACTTACGACCACAATTGAGCCCAAAATTTCTGTTGTTAAATAAGACATTTCTTAAGTGAGTTTTGCCTCATTTTACAACCTTTCTTGCCATAGTTGTTAAATGAATCACTATGATTGTTAAATTACCAATGGGTGTTTACTGAACCTGGCTTTTCCCATTGACTTCGTTTGTCAGAAGGTTGCAAACATGACCCCGGGACATTGTGACAGGGATAAATATGAATCAATGGCCAAGCATCTGTATTTTGATCACGATGGTGGGGATGCTGCAAAGCAGTCATAAGTCACTTTTTTCTGTGCTGTTGTAACTTTGAGCGGTCACTAAATGAACTGTTGTAAGTCAAGGACTACCTGTATTAGTGGGAAATGTGTTCTGGTCTGATCTTGCTCAGTAATATATGGAATGTTTAAAAATATATCTGGTTTCCTGTATGTAATGTAATATGCTTTATTAATTCCCTTTTTTCTGTTCTTTTTTTCCTTGCTACCTTTTATGTGGGTTTTTCCTATTTTTCTCCTTTTTTGCACATTAAAGCAGTTAGAAAAAACATGCTGGACTAGTAATTTTAAATAGCCTTCATCAATCTTAGAACTAGTTTCAGCTAATGAAAAGCGGCGTAACTACCAGAACATACTTGATTTTTAAGCCAGTTCAAACAGCCAAAAATGTCTCATTTTATGAAACATTTATAATTCTTCTTGAAAGAATAATTACTGCTTTTAGCTAGCTTTATTATAAGATTGAAACACTAACAATATATGATTCATAAATTCATTTACACTAAACTTTTTTGTTTTTCAGTTTTATTTAAAGACCAAATCGAGTAAAATCTGGGAAAAAAAATGTTAATGAATATACCTTGCTTCTCTGCTTCTGTAAACATTTAAGGAAGTTTAGCAATTGAAACCAAGATGAAATTGTAAAACATAAATTTAACACGACTGCAATTAAAATAAATTAACAATTGATGTTTGCAAAATAACCTATTGCTTTCCTAAATACTGAGAAAATGAAGACCAAATCCACCTCCATCTCCCTGGAGAATGTTCCAAGTCCATTGCCTGGGAATCCCAGAAAAGGCAGCCTCCCATATACCAGAAAGCTGAGATTTCAGCAGCAATGACATCTTCAGAATAGTATCTCCTGCTGATCTAAGGAACTGGGCAGGTTCATAGCAAGAGAGGTCTTTTGTGAAATAGACAGGTCCTGAGTCACTTACAGTTTTAAAAGTCAGATATTAAATTAAGCTTATTCAGCTGTTGTGTCTGTTTGGCAACTGAAAGTCAGCTCTGTCTAGCAGTTAAGGTGCTGGACTAGGAATGGGGAAAGCTGAGTTTCTCTAGCCCTACCATAGACATAAATGGTAGCTGGGTGATCTTGGGCCAGTTATTGTTTGACAGGCATAGAACCACTACTGAAAAGTGTTTCAAATAGGCTGATGCTACAGTATGTTTGAGAGTTTGATTGTGAAATGGTGAATTATAACTAAATGCAATATACACACACAAATGTATGTTTTGCAGTGAAGATTTGCCTAGTTGGATAACAAATTGTATGTAGGCTAACAACCAAACTCAGAGATCACTCCACAGATAGAGCTGTGTTTTAAGAAGTATATTTCCTTAATTTGATTAAATCTGTAGCCAGTGTCTAATTTAATTCTTTCTTTTATTTTTCTTAGATTTGCAGGAAAGACCTGCTTCTTCATATGCACAGGGAGCTAGACCAAAGGAAAACTCATTGAGTTCTTTAAGGCTGAACACATCCATGAACCACCAGTTGCCTTCTGAACATGAATCTTCATTACTTTCTAGAGAGCGTAGCTGGAATTCAAGATCTAACTATGTCCCAAGAGAAGTAGAGACTTCTGAAATGAATATACAGCCAGAGTTTACCCATGATACCATGAGAAGTGGAACCAGAACCTCAAACCATTCTGAAGGGATTTTGCCAACCCAAAGGTCATTAAGTGAGCCTTCTGCTGATACTGAAGGAAGGCGTTCAACAAGGCAGTTACTATCTCGCCTGGCATCTAGTATGTCCTCCACTTTTTTCCCAAGAAGGTCTGGCCAGGACTCTTTGACGTCTTCAAGATCATTAGGTTCTAGAGATATAAGTGTTCTAAGAGCTCAAGCTTCTGCCCAGGCTACTACTTCTAACACACTTACAACTTCGGAAGGTACAGAAGCTCAAACACCTGATCCTGGTCCTCAGGGATTTAGCTTCCTTAGAAGACGCTGGGGTTTGGCAGGTGTTTCACCAAATCCTAATGCTGAGTCAGAACCTGGAAATTACAGACATCATTCTGAAAGTAGAAATGCAGGTTCTTGGCTGTCATCTTCTTTGAGAAACAGATGTACACCTTTGTTTTCAAGAAGGAGAAGAGAAGGAAGAGATGAAACGGCAAGAACTTCTACCTCTGAAACATCTGCTAGGTCACTGCATCTTTTTAGGAGAAGAGAATCTGCTGGGGATGTACCTCTTGAAGCACAAAGGGAATCCCTCAGGCCCAGGCCATCAATACCTGCAGTACCCAGTGGTACTACATCTGCTGCTTCGGGGTCAGAGTCAGTGCCTCCTAGAAGAAATCCAGGAATATCAGGAATGTTTCCTGGCTCTCTCTTTCGGTTTGCAATGCCACCAACTTTGGGAAACAACTTGTCCGACAATGTTATGATAACTGTAGATATTATTCCATCAAGCTGGAATCAGTCAAATGGACAAGATAGTGACAAATCAAAAATACCACCTTCAAGAGATCCAGAAAAGCTACAGAAAATTAAAGAGAGGTAAACAGCTATTTTTAATCATTTGAATGACGATTTAATTATACATTTTATTGGGCAAGTCCTACATATATTGCAACAAATAATATCTTGAGAATGCTGATGTATCTGATTAATGTCATAATACGCAAACAAGTTTGATTCAATGTAGTAAATTTTCTCACCTCTGTTCAGTCTTCTTTCAGAAGACTCAGAAGAAGAGGAAGAAGACTTATGTAGGATTTGTCAAATGTCCTCTACATCTGCCACTAATCTCTTAATTGAGCCATGTAAATGTGCTGGAAGTCTGCAGTATGTTCACCAGGAATGTATGAAAAAGTGGCTACAATCCAAGATTAACTCAGGTAAGAATTCATTTTTAAGATCACAATTCTGGAAAAATAGATTAGTTTGGAAGTTGATCACAAAAAGGGATTGTTAAAGTAGTTGGAAAACAAATGAAACTGGCTGAATGTATGTAAGAGTGAGGATCCTTGGTGCTCTCTGAGCTTGGAAGTTTTCTTGCAGATGTTTCATTACCGTGCACTGTTGTCTAGTTTGGGTAATGAAACATTTTCAAGAAAACATCCAAGCTTAACAAATCACTTCCTGGTAGGCCTGTTTAAAGTGACTACCTGGTAGGCCTGTTTAAAGTTACCTGTTTTCTGCCAGGGAGGGGTGACTTGCTGCTTGTCCAGGGCTATTATGGGAAATACTGAAGGCATCTAGCAGATAAAGTTGCTTAGATTCACTCAGAGATGGACTTTTACTGGGTAGACTGTAAGAGAAGCAAGGTTTTGTGTAGGACAAGTGTGAAACTAAACTCCGGAGGAGGTGGATGGGATCCTTCTAGCTGTTAAGTGGAATTTCTCTTTATTAAATCTCTGTCCCTCTTCTTGGTGAAAGCTACCCAGGAGGTGACAGTAGTTGAATTCATGCCATAATCACTGAGGAAAGAGTGGTTCCCCTACTGGACCCAACTATATGAACAATTTAAGGAGAAAATTCCTAATGGTTAGAGCAATCAAATAGCTTGCCTTCAGAAATTATGGGTGCTCCATCATTGGAGGTTTTCAAAAAGAGACTGGACAACCATTTGTTTGAAATGGTATAGGGACTCCTGTTTGAGCAGGGGGTTGGACAAAGTCCTCCAAGATCCTTTCCAACTCTATTATTCTATGTTCTAAGTTCTGGCTATCACAGGGTTGCCATGGCTGTGATTATGACATCGCAAAGCATCCGGTGGGCATGTGGTTACCATTTCCAACCTGCTTTGTTGACTTCTGACAAGTGAAATCAATGGGAATGCCAGCAGGAAATCAAAAATGGCAACCATGTTTCAACAAGAGTTTCAAGAGCATTTCAAAATCCATTTAGAATTTTATTCACTGGAAGAAATACATAGAAATATACGTATACTGAGATTATATTTGGTTAGAAATACCAGTTAAATACCTGTTAAATTCATTTTTAATGCAAATCGTTTTTAAAAAAAAATACAGTGTGGTATAGAAACACAATAGAATGGGCAACTGTAAAATGTTTATTTTATCTTGTTGATCTTAACTGTAACAATAATTTAGCCTTAATACATAATCTGTGAAAACAATCAACATGGACACTTGAGATGGGTATCCTAATTTCTCTACTCTTGCATATTTCTCTTAGAATCATAGTTGTAAAATATAGCAGTGAATTTGGTTTTCTGTTTAATGATGTATTTTTCTCTATAATTGCTGATCATTTCTGAATGTTTTCAATGCCAAGGCTAAATAAAACAAAAAGTAAAACTTTTCCCCCACTAGGTACTTCATTGGAAGACGTAACTACCTGTGAATTGTGCAAAGAGAAGCTTCAGCTCAATCTTGACAATTTTGATATCCATGAACTCCATAGAGCACATGCAAATGAACAAGTTAGTATATTTTGGCTAATTTGGTAAGTGTCAGTTCAGTGCTTGTGACTCAGGATAGGTTTTCTTTCCAACTCTGGAAGAAATAATCTGTTTGTGACAGACAGTTGATGTTGCCTGTATGTTGCTACTCTTCAGTTCTAGATGGCTTAAATTATAAACATGTAAAATACCTCAAGAAACCTCGTATACATAAAACACATTCCTTTTTACAACCCTGTAATCCAAGGGTCTTGGCACGTTTAAGACTTGTGGACTCCCAGAATTCTTGAGCTAACATGACTGGAGGAGGAATTCTGGGAGTTGAAGTCCTCAAGTCTTAAAGTTGTCAAGTTTGAAGACCCCTGCTGTAATCCCTTAATTCTGGGTAGAGTCGGGGTGACTAAATAGAGCTGAGTGTTTACTGGCCAGATGCCCTTCCCAGTGCCACGTGGAGGTCACAGCAGATATTTTTTCTTGCGCCCTAGGAGAGAAATATCTGCCACTAGCTAAGATTGAATTCTCAACATTCTGAGTGGGAGGCAAGCATCTTTATCACTGGGGCATCACACCGCTGAAACTCCATGTACATATAAGCATGAAAACATTAAAAAAAACCTCCATTTACATATAAGCATAAAAACTTTTTTAAAAAAAACCTCCATATACATATAAGCATAAAAAAATAAGTACCAACAAATACAAATACCCTATGTCAACAGGCATACCTCCTCTCCTGTCCAAAGGGCACTCTCCTGTGCAAAATAGAATTGATTCTGAAGCTCAAAACGCTTCTGATACTTAGGAGGGATGAGGCCAATAGAATTCCTATTCAAAATCGAATATGCTATTTCCTTAATATCATTCAGGCCACAAACTCAAAGCCATTCCATCTTGGAGGGATTCATTTGAAATCTGTTCATCCCCAGCCAGATCCTGATAATCTCTAGGCACCAGGTCAACCTTTATATCAGAAAATGAGGCATATATTTCAGCATGATTATAATACCAAACCCTCAGAGGACCACCTCCAATGACTTCAGGTAGATGTTAAAAAGGAATGGAGAGAGGGGAGAGGTGCTCCACAAAATAGAGGTCTGTGGGCAGATCTCTCCTACTACCCCAATTGGAACTGGGCTTTCAGGAAAGAGGCAAACCATTCCAAAGCAGTGCCTTCTATTCTATCCCTTGGAGATAGTCCAGCTGAATGCCAAGAGTCCAAACAATCTGCTTCCTCAGTCTAAGGTGTCTTGCGTTTGTAGGTCACCACTTGTTTTTAAGAAGAGGAAGGTTGGGAACAGATCTATAATTGTCTAAGTCAGTTGGATCAAGTGAAGATTTTTTTTAAAGTAAGGACATCTTCAGAGATGTCAGAAACATCCCCTCACTCAAGAGAATTACGGCTTACTTCTCAGATTCAACTTTTCTACTGTCGCACAGGAGGCCTTATTAAACTGTGAAGGCAGGGAGCCAAGAAATAGTGGAACTAAATGCATAGGGCCCTATTTACTTACTCAGGACTCAAAAATTTATAATTATTCCAGATCACAAGACATCCAGTTATCTTCACTGACAGTGGAGAGTTCATCTTGGATCTGAGCAATTGGATCTGTCTTGCAAAGTGGAGTTGCTACTGAATATCATGGGAAGCAGCCAACTCAACTGACCCTTCTGGCCTACATGCACAAAGGTGGCATCACTTTTGATTTTCTGTGGAGTAGCACCTCTTGATGCAACAGAGTCTTGCTGCTACTCAAAGGCAGCGGTTGATACCAAACCTGAAAGTCTGATGGGCAAATTTCTAAGAGGGGAATTCTCCATTCCTCCCCTATCCAAGTGCAACAATACAGGCCAGATCTGTCCTTCCATTCATAATCAAATCATTGATGAGAAAAGTCTTACTATAGACAGTTCTGCTATTAATAGGTTTTAGAGTGTCTGGTCTCCCAAGATCTGAACCCTGGCAACTGGAAGGGGGTGTTTGTATTTGATTTGTATGCCATTTATTGAGACTTTCTGTGTCTTTTTTTTGGACATGTGTGAGAGAGGGATGGAGAAAGAAGGACGTCGTAAAAACATATAACCTGCTTGTGCTTTGTTATATGTTCTCAAATTCATTTGCCTGGGGTTTTGGAAGATTTGCATTTGAAAATGATATAAATGGGAAGTGAGAATGAACTAATAAACCTAGCTCATTTGCCAATGCTGCTGAAATAAGGATCCTTGGGATTAAAGAACATGCATAAATCTTTCAAGACACGGAGTTTCTTTGGCAACGACAATTGGTTTTCCCTTCCAAAAATACTTCAATGTAATACATACTTTACTAAATTTGAGTCTATACTATTATACCCAGTGGATACTGGGAAAAAGTCTGTAGGAGAGTTGGAATCCAAGGGTCTTTTTCTGACTGGTTCCCCAGATATTTTCTTTTCTTTCTTACAGTGACATTGGCACAGTTGGTCAAAAATAACCTAAAATAGACCCAGTTGAAATTTTAGCAAAACTTGAGATCTTTAGATAAAGAAAATGTGCTGAAAGGCACAAAGTACCTAGAAGTAGCTAGTGATCTCATTTGTTAGCAGGAAGTATTAATATTCTGTGCTTAGCATTAGAAGTCTTTGTTCTGAAGCTTCTGCATCTTAATTACCAAAGGATAGTGTTTTATTTCTCACGTGCCTAGTGCTACATAAACGCTGAACGGTATTTCCATTTTGAATAGTTGAAATATATTGTCTAATACTTGGTCCTCAGTTTTTATAGCCATTTAAACTTGAATGTCAGATTGCGAGCTTTGGGTATTAAAGGCATTGTTTAGCAACAAGGACTTCAAAACAGTTGATATAAATTCTATGGATCTCAACCTTCCCTTTACTCAAAATGATTTCTGACAATAATTACTGGAAGGAAGAGCTATCCAGTCAATGGAAATGATCAGGAAGTATGATTTGACAAGTTATTTCTTTAAATGTCCAAGGAAGTTCAGATCCAAGTCTGAAGTAATCATACCCCTGCAGTCAAGGGGAAAATAATCATGAAAATACAGTATTTATATATTTTGGAAAGCTTGAGTATTTGACTTACAAATGCATTCTCTTTCCAGGCAGACTATGAATTTATCAGTTCTGGGCTTTACCTTGTAGTATTGTTGCATTTGTGTGAACAGCGCTTTTCAGATATGCTGGGAACTACAAGTGAGGCCAACACACGTATCCGGGTAAGGGATATGACTTGTTCCTGTAATAGAACCAGTTTGTTACTGCGATTAAAGCACACTCCATCTCTTTCAAATATAATATGTGCAGAACCAAAAGAGTCTAGTTTCAAATGGGCCCTTTCTATTCTTCTTCCTGACATTCTGCATGGCCTCCCAAATTCAAGAAGGTCAGCTGTTCCTTTTAAAACCATTTAAAACCAAAGCAGTGAAAGGAATGTGGCCAGAGAGTAGCTAGATGTGTGCTGTGTTGACACGCTTTCTGCTTTTGGGGTTCTTTGAGTCTTTACATAGCTAAGGTAACAGCTGCTTCAAAAAGGATGCTGGGATAGGCAACAAGGCAAAATAGGTTTCGGATATCTTACTGTAATCTGGCAACTATTGGCTGACTTACTGACCTTCTGAAAATAAAGGAAAGGCTGCCTTCCATTAATTTGTTCTAGTCTTAATTTTCTAAGTCCATTTTCTAAAATAAGAACATCCTTGTAGTTGTACAGATAGCCCCTGACTTACAGTTCATTTAGTGACTGTTCAAAGTTACAACAATAGTGAAAAAAGGGACATGATCATTTTTCACACTTATGACCATTGCAGCATCCCAAAGTCACACAATCAAAATTCAGATGCTTGGTAATTGACTCATATTTATGACAGTTGTAATGTCCCAGGGACATATGATCATTTTTTGCAACCTTCTGAGAAGCAAAGTCAGTGAGGAAACCAGATTCATTTAACAGCTGTGTTATTATCATAACCAGTAGAGTGATTAATTTAACAACTGTGGCAAGAAAAGCTTATAAAATAAGGTAAAGCTCACTCGACAAATGTCTCACTTAGCAATAGAAATTTTGGGCTCAATTGTGGTCGTAAATCGATAACTACCTCTAGTTATTTTTGTTGTCTTTCTCATTTTCTAGCTCCTACATATTTATTTTGAACAAGTAGGGAAAATGTATGTGGGGATATTTTTTTACTTATATTCTGTTCTTTTTTTATATAATGTATCCCAATCTGCAACTACATTTTTAAGCACTTGGTTCTCTCGGAAATGATGAAATATGCAAAAGTGGACACTTTTCCTGTGTGTGTTTAACTGAATCTCCTTTGTAATATGTTCCAGCCTATTAGAACAGCAGCAATTTAAGAGCTTCCTTGAATTCTTGATTCATTTAGAAAGTGCCCTTAATATTTATACTCGGTTCTTAAATAGTTCTTTTTTATATGGTGGAGGTTTAAATACCCTTGTGTTTAACTGAATGGCAGTTGATTGTTGATTTTGCGCATTCGTCAGCACAGGCTAAAACCTCCAGGAGAGTTTATATTCAAAACATTATCAAATCATGCACCATTTTTCTTTCACATTCCACAAGCATTGATTCAGTTACATGCAGAAAATGTAATAAGTGAACCCCTGGGTCACAGCCATTCCCATTGCTGCCTGGAATCTTCTCTACTTTAGAAGGACTAAATGCATTTATAATCCACCAGTTCATATGTTTTTACATAAGATTGTATTCCTGGAGACAGTCGGGACTGTTCACTTACAGGTGAGAAGGGAGGAATTCGTGAAGATTTTAATTGTGGTGTTGGATTTTAATGGTGTACGGTCCTGTGGTGATTTGCATCTTTTAAAACTGCCTTTTTGCATTGCTTCTAGTTTATTAATCTTGCAAGAACTCTTCAGGCACACATGGATGATATGGAAAGTAGGTGATTTTACTTCTAAGTTAAAAAAGGGATAAAGTACAGCCTGTTCTTTTATGTAATATTAAGTACAAAAATATCTGAGTTGATCTGCAATTTTCAGATACAATTAGAATAAATTGTAAGGGCACTTAAAGAACTCAAATCTGGTTCCTAAGGAAATGCAATCCAATTACTTGTTTCAAAGTTCCCTGCACTTTATTCTCTGAGAAAGTTTGAAGGGTAAAACTCACCATGGTATGCATACAAACATTTATCATTAAAAGAAACAAAGTGATCCACTGAAATTACTAGTTAGTCTTGATGAGTTTTTATATACTTGTTGACTCAAACATGTGAACATAGACTTGCTTTCAGATCAGCTAAAAATCTCTGAAGTATAGTCTCTCTCTAATAGGAATCTAATTATCTTTTGTGGAATGAATATTTTTAATAAAACATCTTATGGGGTGATGTCTGTTTGAGGTAGTCCCATTTAAGACATGGTTGCTGATATAGCAGTTATAATGAATCCTTGTTACTGCCAACCCATTTTTCTCCTGCCTCTTTAGATTATGTGTACATTGGATGTCTCTTTCCTATGCATCTTACACCTAAAGGCCTCACATACATATTCTACTGTTCATTACATAGGTAGCTCTTGTTAGGATGATGATAAAAGAAACTAAAATAATCTTTTGTGAATGAACACTGTTTATTTGTGTCCATAAAAGTTTTCCTTGGTGATATATCATTTTCTTGTTCCCTGTTCATACATACATAGGTATTTAATAGAAAACTCATTTATTTCTTTGGTATTATTTACTCCATTTATAAATTTAGGCTTCCTTTTAAGGACATTTTGGGATTTTGGCCATTCATTTATACTAGCTACATCTGGATTTTTGCTTTAAAAGGGCATTTACTCCTTAGCACATTATTCCATAATAATCTTAACCATGTAATTTAATCATACTCTTTCTGGAAAAAGAAACCTGTTGTTAGTCCTTTTGGTATTGAAGGTGCCTGCTAAGGTTATTTATATTTTGCTATTAATATATCTGTACTTGCTTATTAAAACCAAGGCAAAATCATACACGATATGAAACACTTTATTGCCTTGATAAAAAACTGGTCTTTTATCATTCTTAATCTAAGCAGCTGTTAAAACAAAAAACAAACCATTCCTATAGGTTCCTAATATATGTTAAATTGAAATGATGGGCAGAACAGTATTGTGACAGTTGACAAGTAAGTGTCTCCATTTTTATAGAGGTATAGTTCTTAGAAGGTGTACAAGAATTTCAATAGTGGGCTCCCATTGAGAATTATTAAAATGATACTTACAGATAATTGCTTTACATATTTTTACTTATTTTCTTTATCCTTCCTCAAATTGCTTGTTAAAGAAACAAATTTTGATTTCCTTTTACATTAATGTGCTTACTAAAAGCAGTATACTTTAGCATAAGTATACATAGGTGCGTTTTGATTTTTAGTTTCAGAGATGTTAAGTTAAAGTTGTACATAGGTATTAGTTTAGGGAAGCACTCCATTATGAAGCACTGAGTTCATAGATACATAAATGTGTTATAAATGAGATGCTGTGTCACATTAAAATAATGTCCTTGATTTTAAACTTCTAGAAAAGTTTCTGATTATATTCTCTACTTCCAGCAGCTTCAGATGATGATGATGATGATTCTGAAGATGGTGATCTCGATAGGACCTTTGATGCTGCATAGATGGTGTGGAAGGGCTAAATGCTCAGCTGACACAAGTATCACCAGTGCACATTTATTTAGTACACCATGCTGAATTTATTAGATTTCTGAAGAACTGCTGAGTCAAACAGAAAATCTGCTATCCATAGATAATGGATATTGTTCATTCAGTCTGCAAGAGTATCTTTCTTCTTTCAGAGTATGACGATGTATGCCTTCTTCTCAAGGGTGTGATTTTTATCTGTAAGGAAGAGTTCTTTTTGTATAAACTTCTTACAGAAATTGGTTATAAATTCTGGGAAATGTTTCTCATGTTTTGCTCTTCTGCCGGCACTAAGTGGAACTGTTAAATGAGTTTGCAAGTTCAAGTCACTGGGAAGAGAGGGGATAATTCTTAGTTAACTTACCACTTAAAAATATATATTGGGAAATCTCACCATTTTGGTTCCAGTGTTAACACCTAGATTGAATGAGGGAGTGAATGGATTCTGTAATTAGTTTTAAGTTTCTCTGGAGGAGTGTTTAACTCAAAGCAATAAACTTGCAAGGGGCTACTAATAAGTGTTAATTAAGGCTTTTATAAGTATTGATTTCAAAACTGCAGATTATATTTGATAATATTATGTACAAGTTCCAATAAGGAATTACAGCAGTAGACACAAGCATTTCAGCATTCCTGGAAGGAATAAAACTTATGGTTTAAAATCTTAACCAAGCTATTTATCTGAATGAACATTTTTTTAGAACCCACATTCACTAAGGCACTGGTTATCAATGTGTTTTCTAGTGTTGTCACTTGTTTGTTAAATAAAGATTGCAATCCTATGGTTTGTCTACCTCTTTAAAATAAGGTACCTTTTAGAGCCTAAGTCATACCCTCATAGGAATTTTGTCTGGTTTAAAATGTCAGTGCTGATTGAATCTGTTGGGGTGAAACAATAAACGGGGTTAGGTTTTCTGTGTTGCTCATAAGACTAATGTTTTCTTCTAGGGGACCTCTAGTCCCGGTGATTTTAGGGCTGCATCCATACAAGTTTCCTGGCAACCATTCAGAAATGACTTGCCATATTTTCCAGGAATGCATAATCTGAGAATGATCCCTTTACAGAGAGCATCCTTTGCCCGTTATATGAATACAGGTAGTCCTTGGCTTACAACAATTCGTTTAATGACCTTTCAAAGTTACAGTGGCACTGAAAAACAAGGCTTATGATTGTTTTTCACACTTATGACCTTTGTTGCGCCCCCATCATGTGATCAAATTCAGTTGCTTGGTGATTCATATTTATGACGGTTGTTGTGTCCTGGGGTCACATGATGACCCTTAGCCCAATGAATCACTTCAGTACAATTTTCATAGGAAAACAGTGTTGTTTTGTACTTCAAGAAAGGAGATTAATGACTTGGCAAACAATACCAACTTTTCCAAATCCATATAGGTATTTTTTACATATTCATTGCTTTAAAACTGCAGTGTTTGTGTATCTTCTACTGTTAGCTGCTGTTTTTTGAAGTACCGGAATAGAGATACGAAGACCAACCTTAAAGAGAAATTAAAAAGGAGTGCTGCTGGGGGTGGTAATCTGGAAATTGCTACCTATGAAGGCTACTGCCTTGTTTTGAAAAAAAAATAGGTGATTAGAGCAAAAAAAAATAGTTACAATGTTCTGAGCTACATTCTCTTCCATTCTGTTTATGAAAAAATTTGACTAAAATTAATTTAGGAGAGATTAGGGGGGTCATTAGACCTATTTAACAAATATGATCTTTTCTCTGGCACCCAGAGGCATTTAATTATTTAAATTATAAAGGTCAGCTAGCATAAATTATAAAGGTCAGCTAGTAAGATGTGATACAGATATTCAACCATCCAAATGATTATTTTGATGTAATGCTTATTCATATAGAAATATATGTATTTATACTTTAACCTAATTGTGACCAATGCTAGATAGATTTCCGCCTGCAATATAACACGAGGCAAGCATTGAATAATGTTTAAGCAATATCTTATTCAGCCTCTTGTATGATAAGCAGTAATTCCCAAACACTACCTGCCTCTCAGTAATTGATACCCTAATTGTAAATACTGACTTGCTTTATGTATGCAATTCTAGAAAGGCCCATTTTAGTTACTGCTTTTATTTGAGCTCAAAAAAGTGCAAATATTAATACTCAAAATTTTATTTCAAAGAACAGAATATTAAAATAGACATATATAAAAAGATTGGGATTGTGTTGAAGGTCCTTGCCATAGTTCCATATTTGTTAATATTAAAAAATGTTGACATTCACTATAAGCACACTTCATGGTAAAGATACAGTCTACAGGTTTAAATAAATTGTCCATTGTTCATGATTGCACTTGCTCCACATTTCTTAAAGATAACATTTTATAGTCTTATATTTTCAAATTTGGGGAATTATAAAAAAAAAAGGTTTTGTAGAGACTTTTAGTCCACAATTGGAATTCTGAATTTCATAAACAAATGAGTGCTGTGAGACTTGTTGGCAAATGTCAACAAAAATAAATTTAGCACAGTGTCGTTGAAAGGCAGGAGTTCCTTCCTTCCAAAGGATCTTTGGACGTTTTGGATAAGAATGATTTCTAAACTATGGATATTATTAAAAGGATATCAAGCATGTTGAAAAATGCACATTTAGATAGAAAATTACTTCATATACATAAAATAACAACTAAGCATCATTTGGTTTATATTTCATTATAATACTGGTTTTAAAGATTGCTTTTGTGCCAGGACCCCTTTCTGTAACAGTATCTAAATGAAAACAGGTTAAGCAGAATATTCAACTTCATCTATAAAAAATGTTTCATTGTCATGCGGAATTTGAGTGATGGAATTATGTGTGCTACATCTTGGTCTAGAAGATATCCTCCTTTGATAAAGAAACCAGAGAAATGCTGCAGAGACTGCCACAGTTATTGTTGATAGTACAACTATGATGCTTGTCCAAGCAGTTTCTGAAACGACACAGAGATTACAAGAAAAGTACCTAATTAATCAGACATGTTTTCTGCAATTGCAAATACTTTTCAGCTGTTTAACATTCTGATATTACTGGACCATTTCCCTGTTTGTCTTATGTGCAGCTTTTTAGTTATCCAGTGAATCTTTTAAGATCTTTTGATTATATCTGGATTACTGAGAATCTCCATAGACTGTTACTCGCACTTAGACTTATATGTCGCTTCACAGTGCTTTACAGCCCTCTAAACGGTTTACAGAGTCAGCATATTGCCCCAAGAATTTGGGTTCTCATTTTACCGACCTCAGAAGGATGGAAGGATGAGTCAACGTTGAGCCAGTCAAGATCAAACTGCTGGCAGTGGGGAGAATTAGTCTCAGAATTACCTGAGATCATAAACAAATCTAGAAATGTTTTCTTTATACTTTGATGTTACCATGTCGGTTATTAATTTCTATATAGATAGTCCTCGACTTAAAAAAAAAATAAAGGTTTCCCTAAAGGTTTCCCTGTCCCATCGTGTCTGACTAGGGGGCAGTGCTCATCTCTGTATCTTAGCCAAAGGAATCTACATTGTCCAAATATTACAACCATTCCATTTAGTGACCATTTGAGTTACAACAGCCTTGAAAAAAGTGACCTATGATCAGTTTTCACACTTGGAACTGTTGCAGCATCCCTATAGTCATGTGATCAAAGGTTTGGGTGCTTGGCAACTGGCATGTATTTAAGACAGTTGCACTATCCCAGGGTCATGCTAGCACCATTTGTACCTTTCCTAAGCAGCTTCTGATAAGCAAAGTCAATAAGGGAAGCCAAATTTGCTTTATGACTGCATGATTCACTTAACAACTGTAGTGATTCACTTAACAACTGTGACAAAAAAGGCCATAAAATGGAGCAAAACTTAACTGTTGCTTAGCAATGAAAATTTTGCATTCAGTTGTACGTTAAGGACTACCTATATTACTTGGTCCTATGTATGTGGTAAGTAACTTCTCCTGCTGGAGCATGTTTCATCAAGCGGTTTCAGATGCACACAAAACTATCTTCCTTATGCTCCCATTTGCCACTTTGGAATGCACCGAGTACAATTTTATCCTTTTCTCCCTAACCTTTAATTAGTCTAATAAAAATTTCAATAAGCTTGAAAAATGGTTGAGTTACTGCCTTTACGCAGCTCTGATTTTCCATATCCTCCTGACCAATAGAGTTTCCAGTGGGCCTATCCCTATGATATAAACAAATTCTCTAATATGTACCAGGCAAATGGCAACAAAAATGTGGGGAATCAGTGACATTTAACAGCAAATGGATATCTTTTAATACAGCTTATTGCATATACAAATAGAGGACATAATGATAATTCCTTGCTTAGAAAAGGTCTATTAAAATCAGTGGAATGAATTAAATTAGTCCTGCCTAAATTACATTGATGGACCTGCTGTTAATTATATCCACACATGGAACCAATCCATGATAACTCGGTGTTATTTCCTGAAAAAGAAAACTGCTCTAAAATAAAAGACATTATCTTAGCACTGTTTCATTACTAGACAATATACAGAAAAAGTGGATTACTCACCAAAGAAGCGTGTCTTTTCATAAAGAACTTTAGCAACATGGAGAGAGAAAATGAGAACATATTACTTTTTTAAATCTGCATTTTACCCTCTCATAGAGGAGTAGTGAAAATAATTACTATCCAACAGTTGGCAATAAGCCACTTAGTGACCAAATAACAGTGATCAATATAAAAATTGAAAAACCTGTTCCTTCAAAAGTGTGTGTATATGAATCTATTTGAGGAAGTAATTTCTGTGCGTGGATCTCCCGGGGAATGGAAATTGTGGCTGTAAATTAGATGGCTATTCAAATGCAGGTACAGTACTGTTCATCCACATGGGTCTACTGACTGCAGTTTGGTTCTGGAACTAGCATAGTAAACCCAATACTATACCATATGACTGGAGTGTGAATAGGAAATGAATGAAATGTGGTTTGCATAATTTCTAAAAGGGCAGATAACATCTTGCTTTCATTGTAATGAATTATATATTGATCATAGATTGAACACCATAATAATCAAGAGTATCCTCTAAAACAATTCCCCAAGCAAGAATCCTCCCCCAGTCATTTTATGCCCACAGAAAGGAAAACATAGCATTGCGCTGACAAGTGAGATATGACCTGGGGGTATATCACCACAGAAGAATTTTGATAACAGGGAAGGTACAGTTTGTTTTCATTACGGGGCAATTATTGACCCAGTTAAAACTTTGGAAAACCTAGAATGTGAATAATTAGTCTTGAAGTCTATTCGGTTTCAGTGCTGGAATTGGGAGACAACCAAACCAATGTTTTATTAATCTTTGGCAGCTGCTTTCTTAAAAACAATGCTTATCCTAATATGCTTGCTGTAGGAATAATCAAAAGAATTTGTTTCCTGAATCTGGTAATGGGGGAAGACCTTTAGCAATAAACCTGCCAGAATTGTGACTTAAGCTCCTTAATATGTTGGTAATTTTTTTTTGCATCTACCTTGTGTGTTCTGCCATGTGAAAAGCCCAAATAGCAAGATAAGAATGTTATTTCCAGTTTGTCTTGAAGAATTCATTTGCATCATCTAATGTATCACAATTATACTGCATATATGACCAGTACTGTGATAAAACGACACTGGGATTAAGTTTAATGACTGTGATGACTGGTAATTGATGAAGGGCTCCAGAGTGTTTGGAAGAGGAAGTAAACAACATCAGGAGTTATCTACTTGAAAGCCCTTCCACAGCCCGTGAAATTCCTCACCTATAATAGAAAACATCAATACTGTAGCA